TGAAATCATATTATAAAAAACAATAAATAATTACTGAAAATAAAATAAATATTAACTATAGTATATATAAATATATAAGGAATATACACTATTATTGTAAAATTATTACTAATAAATATAATTTTGTTGATAGTTATTTTCTATAACTATTAATTGATATAAATGAAATTAGTTATTTACAATACTATTTAGTTATTGAAATAATATTGTTATTTAAGTTCTTAAAATATTAATTATTTATTCAGTTTAACAATCCATAGAATTATAATTGTACTATTGATACATAAATTGCTATTAATTTTGTAAAATATTAAATTATTATTAATATGAATATTATGAATTCTATTATAATTATTTTTCTACTTGTAGGATTTTTTTAATTTATTACATAATTTCATTATTTTAACTATTTAATATTTTGTCATGGTAAATATTTAAATAATATGTAAAATATTTAAAAATTTTCATTATTCGAATTTTATTTATTTTAATGCTATTACATAAAATTAAATATTTTGTTATATTATTTAGCTACTTTTAATGTTTTTTATTTAAGATTTTAAGTTATTGAGATATTTAAATAATGTTTTATTTTTTAATATTAAATTTTTATTATTTRAATAACATTAAATTGAATAAGTAATAAAATTATAATTTATATTGTTACTACATAATTTCATGATGAACTTTGTAAAAATATTGATTTATTAATAATACAAATATAATTAAATCTATTAATTTTTTTGTGTTTTGAATAAATATTTTAAATTTAGTATATAATTTTGTTATAACATTTAAATAGTTCTTAATTTTTTTAATTGAAACTTTCTTTAGATAGATATAGATAAAAAGTGGGGGGAGAGGATAAATAGGAATTAGAGATAGTTTGTGAGAGAATCTCTCTACTAAATTAGAGATAATTTAAGAGATAAATAGGAGTTAGAGATAATTTAAGAGATAAATAGGAATTAGAGACAATTTAGGAGGAAGTGGGGGAAAGTGGTGCCACTTGGCTAAATATTAGAAAAGCAAATCCCTCTTTCTTTATGGTTGTTAGAAATAGTTAAGCATATGTTGGTTTAATGGGTAATTATGTGGAATTAAAAATTAAAATTCAAAAAGAAAAGAAAATTAGGAAGGGGGTTTGAAACAAGGAGAGGTATGGTGATGTGGACAGACCAATTTTAATATATATATTAAATAAATAAAATATACTAATTTAAATAGAGTAAAATAAAAAATATATAATTATTTTGTAATTACTTTCATCATATATATATATGTTTTTTTATAAAAAAATAAATAATATAACAAATTTATAAAAATATAACATAAAAAATATATTTATAAATAAATAACATTTATATGTATTATATATTTTATTTATAAATATATAAATATATATTGGATCAGATCTTCTCGGATTGGATTGGATCATGATTCGATCCATTTGCACCTCTAGCTCGGCGGGAGAGGTGTAAAACGGTCTGGGCTGCCCACCATGCCTTAGAAAGGCCTGCTAGCTGACGGGTCATGCTAGGCACCACACAACCCCTTGTCCATGGGATTTTGACCCACAACACAACCCACCTTTATAATACTCCACATCAATTATAAAATATATGGGACCTATTTGGGTTATGGTTGAGCTGGCCAAGGATGCCACGTGTCAGCCTCTGCGACCATCTTCTCTCTCTAGCCACGTCAGCACCACGCATGACAGAAACACCAAGAAGGAGTGCCTTGCACGGACAAGGAATTTAACTCCGTTGGGGAAGAGGAGACAT